CCAGCCGCGGCACGACCGTGTACAGCCGATACGCCTCCATCTCGGCGCGCCTGCGAGCAAGGCCCCGAGACGGGTCCCCGAGGAGGGGCGCGGGTGCAGCGGGCGCACCCTCCTCCCTCGGCGCGCATGAAGCGGACGAGCCCGTTTGCGGCGGCAAGGATCCACTTGTCCATCAGGTTTGCCGAGCCGAGCGCCTCGCCGACGCTCGGCTCGAAGCTGGCGCCCTCCCTCGCCTCGGCCGTGCGCACCGACGCGACCAGCAGCCGGTAGGCGTGGTACCTGCTCGCGGCCGGAGGGCGTGAGCATTGCGCTCGCGGCGGGCGGGCGCGGCGGGCGGGCGCGGCGCGCGCCAGGGGAGGAAGATCGACTTGAGGTTCTGCATGACGCCCGCCTCGCGGAAGCAGAGGTCCTCGGCGTGCACGACGGGCGAGTTGATCAGGTAGAGCCGCAGCGCGTCCGCGCCGTACGAGTCGATCACGAGGACGGGGTCGGGGTAGTTCTTCTTGCGCTTGGACATCTTTTGGCCGTCGGCCGCGAGCACAAGCCCGTTGCAGATCAGGTTCTTGAAGGCGGGCTTGTCGAAGAGGGCGGTCGAGAGCACCATGAGGGTGTAGAACCTAAAAAAGAAATATGGGCATCCAGAAGAAATACGGCCCGAGCGAGGGGGGGTCGGACATGTCGAAACCAGCCGCGTGTCTGGTCGATGCCCTCGGCGATGAAGTCGGCCGGGAAGGAGGCCTCGAACGTCTGCTTGTTCTCGAAGGGGTAGTGCTGCTGCGCGTACGGCATCGAGCCCGACTCGAACCAGCAGTCGAAGACCTCGTCGACGCGCTTGAGGGTGCCCTTGCCCTGCTGCGAGGGGAGCTCGATGTGGTCGAGGAACTCGCGGTGTAGGTCGCTCACCTGTTCACACCCTCCAGCGCTGTGAAGAGACCTTCGACCCCCGGCCACCTCTCCCGCAAAGGTTGAGGGGCCAGGGGTGGAGGGATAGGGGGCGCGGGCGGGAGCGTAGGCGGGGGAGGTGGTGGGGTGCCGGGTTAGGGGTAGGGTTGGAATTAGGGTCAGGGTCAGGGTTGGGGTTAGGGTTGGGGTTGGGCTTGAGGTTGGGATTGGGGTGAGGGTTAGGGTTAGGGTGAGGGTTAGGCTCACCGCCACGCCAGAGAGCCGCTCAAGCTCCTCCTTGGAGCCGACGACGACGATCTCCTCGCCGTCGTCCGAGACCCACATCGGGATCGGCGTCCCCCAGAAGCGGTTGCGCGAGACGGCCCAGTCGCGCGCGTTCTCGAGCCAGTTCTGGAAGCGCTTCTCCCGTACGTGGCCCGGCACCCAGTACGTCTGCTTGTTGTTGGCGATCAGCTTCTCCTTGATGGCCTCGACCGCCACGAAGGTGCCCGGGACGGCGCGGTAGATGAGGGGCGTGTCCGAGCGCCAGCAGAAGGGGTACGAGTGGTTGATGACGTCCACCTATGTGCCCGTGCGCTACCTCGTGCTCCTTCTCTTCCTCGCCCTCGGGGGGCGGCAATGGTCTTCCCCCATCCTCTCCAAGCCGGAGATGGTGCCCACCCCACCACACCCGCCCACCCGCCCACCCGCCCGCCACCCCACCCACCTTGATGATGCGCCCCTGCGCCTTGAGGTGAGCGATGATGTGCTTGTCCGCCTCCTTGACGCCCAACCCCCGCCACTCGGGCACCTGCAGCGCGACACGCACAAGCGTCGGGGTGCGAGCACGGCGGCGTGCAATCGCAGGCCTGCGTCTCGCGGGACAACGAGAGCTGCGAACACGGCCGAGAGCAGCCGAACCCGCCTCGCCCCTCTGGCTCCCGCCCAGGAGGAGGCAGGGACGCGGAGTCGAGCATCTGGGCGAGCATCTGGCTGCGCATCTAGCATCTGGCTGCGCATCTAGTGCGCGGGGCACCTCGTCGCTGAACCGCCCGTCCGCGTCGACGGGGCAGACGAGGGGCTCGCCGCGCCGGATCACTCCGTGCTCGAGGCACGCCTTGTAGTCCTCCTCGCCAAAGGCGGGTGCGCAGTGCACGATGCCGGTGCCCGAGTCATCGGTGACGAAGCCGCCCGTAATGACGCGGAACGCGCCGGACGCGCGCCGCGCCTCGAAGTAGCCGAAGGGCGGCGCGTACTCCACGCCCGCGAGCGCCGAGCCCTTCATCCGCTCGACCTCGCTGAACTTCTTGCGCGCGTCGGCCGCCTTCTTCGGGTTTGCGAGCTCCGAGTAGAGCTGTACCAGCCGCGTCGCCAGCAGGATGTACACCGCGCCGGTCGCCTGAGGCGGGGCGAGGGGAGGCGAGGGGAAGTGAGGCGAGGCGAGGGGAAGGGAGGGGCGGTGAGGCGAGGCGAGGCGGGGCGAGGGGAAGCGAGGCGGGGCGAGGCGAGGGGAAGTGAGGGGAGGCGAGGCGAGGGGAGGTGAGGAGAGGCGGGGCGAGGCGAAGTGGGGCGAGGGGAACTGCTCTCCGCACGCTGGCCGGGCCGCGCGCGTGTGTGTGTCTGTGTCTGTGTGTGCGTGAGCGTGCATGCGTGCGTGTGCGCGCGCGCGCGCGCGTGTGTGTGTGTGTGTGTGTGAGCGTGCGTGCGTGCGTGCGTCAGCTCACGCGCATGGGCGCATCTCGGCTGCCTCTCGGCGCCTCTCGGCGCCTCTCGGCTCCTCTCGGCCCCTCTCAACTCGCCTCCTCGCGGATGCGCACGTACTCGAGCTCCGGGTTGACGCAGAGGGCGAGGTTGGACGGCAGCGTCCACGGCGTCGTCTGCGCGGGAGGGCGGGCTCAGCGCCGAAGGGAGGCGAGAAGAGATGGAGAGAACGAGGTGCGGCGGCCAGAGTCACACCTCGGCTGCACCTCGGCTGCACCTCGGCTGCACCTCGGCTGCACCTCGGCTGCACCTCGGCTGCACCTCGGCTGCACCTCGGCTGCACCTCGGCTGCACCTCGGCTGCACCTCGGCTGCACCTCGGCTGCACCTCGGCTGCACCTCGGCTGCGCCTCGGCTGCGCCTCGGCTGCACCTCGGCTGCGCCTCGGCTGCACCTCGGCTGCACCTCGGCTGCACCTCGGCTGCACCTCGGCTGCACCTCGGCTGCACCTCGGCTGCACCTCGGCTGCATCTCGGCTGCATCTCGGCTGCATCTCGGCTGCGCCTCGGCTGCATCTCGGCTGCATCTCGGCTGCGTCTCGCGGGTGACAGTGGCACCGTCCAGGCGAGGAAGGATGCCCCCTCCTCGCCGAGCAGCGGGAAGGTGACGACGACGGCGGGGTCGGAGACGTCCTTGTAGTTTTGCTGCACCTCGAAGTTGGAGAGCGGCGTGTTGAGCGCGCACGAGTAGGGCATCACCTGCAGCGGCGCGCAGGCGCGAGGGATGAGGGCGAGGGGCGAGGGTGAGGGGCGAGGGCGAGGGGCGAGGCACGTGTCCACCCTCACAGAGGTGGTGATGGGAGAGCCGAGGCGTCGGCACTGTGCCGCGAGTGCCTCGGAGGGCGGGGCGTCCCGCGGCGATCCTCACCTTGAAGCCGCGGTAGACATACCCCTTCTCGTGCAGCTGCTGGAAGACCCACCACACCGTCTCCATGTACGACAAGTCCATCGTGCGGTACCCGGTGGAGAAGTCGATCCACCGGCCGACGCGGCCGACCGTCACCTCCCACTCCTTGGTGTACCGCCCCACGATGGCGCGGCACTCGTCGTTGTACGTCGCGATTCCCATGTCGAGCACGTCTTGCCGCCCCTTGACGTCGAGCTTCTTGTCAATCTCAAACTCGACCGGCAGGCCGTGGCAATCCCAGCCGAAGCGACGCGGCACGTGGTGACCGGTCTGGTGCGCGTACCGGCAGACCACGTCCTTGATGGTGCCGGCCAGGATGTGGCCGTAGTGCGGCAGCCCGGTCGCAAACGGAGGGCCATCGTAGAACGAGAACGGCGGCCGCCCCTCGGAGAGCCGGACCGACTCGTGGAACGTGTCGTTCTGTTTCCAGTACTCGAGGATCTCCTCCTCCCCCTTTGGGAAGGAGAAGCGCTCAGGCACCTCCTCGAGCCGTGGCATGGCCAGCGGGGAGGGGCAGGATGCCAGAAGAAATCTGTTTTGAGGTGATCCGGCCCTGGATGTGAGGTTAATGACTGCACTCCAAGTGCTCCAAGTGCTCCACAAGTGTTCGAAGAGAGAGTGGACCTGAGCAACGATATGACTTGGCGGCAAAGGATACCCATCACTGAGCCGACGATGCTATGGGTAGCCCCAGGGTGGCGCCCACCCCCATACCCTCAGGCACTTGCCTGCGCCCTGGCCGCGCATGCCGCGCACGCCCGCGCACGCCCGCGCACGCCCGCGCACGCCCGCGCACGTGCGCGCACGTGCGCGCACGCGGCACTACGCTGCACCACGCAGCACTACGCGCCCGCCCGCGCACGTGCGTGCACGCCCGCGCACGTGCGCGCACGCCGCCCGCGCGCACGCTGCACTACGCGGCACTGCCCAGGTTCCCTCACGCTCAGATTCCCTCACGCTCAGATTCCCTCACGCTCAGATTCCGTGAAAGGGGGTGCCGAGGTATGCCGCAGGCCGGGATGGAGTGAGATCTTGCGGGGCAGGGCGTGGGCTAGCGCGTGTGAGGGCGCAGGCAAGTGGCCAAGTGCCCGAGGGTATGGGGGTGGGCGCCACCCTGGGGCTACCCGTAGCATTGAATTTGTCGGCTCAGTGATGGGTATCCAAATGATCGCAGTGGGCGTCAGAAGAGTCGTCGCTTGCGCGAGGAGAGCTCGATAAACTCGAGGGGCCAAAATATGCCGCGAGGAGGGCAGTCGGCAGAGTTGCGCCGAAAGGCGGGAGAAGCCGCGAGAGCAAGGGATCGGCAGGCGGCGGCGGCGTCGCAGGACGAGGCAGACGAGAGCGACGCGAGAGAGGAGGAAGCGACAGGAGGGAGAACGACGAGAGTGGGACGGACCGCGAGGACCGAGGTGGCATGAAGGTTGCAGCGAGAATCGGCGAGGGACTGCGAAGGGAGATAGAAAGAGGCAGACGACCAAGGGTTGGGGTGGGCGACGGCTAGCACCACACTCCTCTCCTTAAAATCCCTGTGTGGTGGCGGCGTGCCGTCCTCCCATCCCTCCCTTGGGTTGTCTGCTTTCTTTCTTTTAACAAACCCTTCAGCCCCCTCCAGCTGCGTACTGATGACTCAATACGGCTAAATCTGCTCGTACAGGCGGCGCCTTTCGTGGGTGGGGGGGGGGTCGACACAAATTGGCCGTAGACATCTGTCTGCTGAGAACTATACTGCATGCAGCATGCGGAGAGAGAGAGAGAGAGATTTTGTTGTTTTTTGTTGTGCACATGACATGCACAACAATCAACATGCACATGCATGAGCATGTACATGTGCTCGTGGCCGTCAAGCGTCATCGGTCATCCGGCTCATCTCATTCGCCTTCCTGGGACCCAGTGCTGCCTTCTGACTGTCTCTCACTTCTCGACTGTGTCTGTGCTTGTGCGTCTTTGGGCAACGGCGGTCTCTCGGGTGTGAGAGGGTCGGGGGTCGCCCCCCCTGGCCCCCCACCAAAACCACTTTGTGTTTGATTGTGGAGACGTTTACCTTTACCTTACCTTTCCTCTCCCACCCACCAACATCTTTGCCAAAATCCCAGTTGATACTGTCCTCGCAGGGGGCGTGACCACGCGCTGTTCACACCTCACACCGTGAGAGAGCAGGATCAGTGTCTCTTGGTCGGCGATGGGCGGCATTTTCGCATTTTGCCTCGCGGTTTGCCTCGCGTGCCGCTGTCTCTCTCGGTGCTGTGGCGAGCCCGAGCATGTGGAGATGAAGGACTACTACTAGGGCCATGTGCGTGCTCCATGCCATCCTGAAATCCATTCTTTCTCGCTACATCTCTCGGTTCCCGAGAGTGCAGCATGTGAGAGAGATTTTAGGAAACCAACAAGAAATCACGACTCTCACAGTGATTTGGGCTCGGCAGCTTGTTAGCCCTCAGCCGAAGCTGGTCTCTTTCAGCATGTGCCATGTATGTGTTAGTACTCTCGCCGCTCTGACCCTCGTGTCCGTACCAGTAAGAAGTTTTTGAGTGATGACACAGCTCCTCGAGCTCCTCCGGGGACCGCCGGTCACCATACAACCTTGTCCCGCAGGATCCAGGAAGCGCACAACCGGCACCGCGAGCGGCGGGTCTTGGAGCACTTGGAGTGCAGTCGGTAACCTCACATCCAGGGCCGGTGAGCTGAGAAGCGCATCCAGCGGGCCGGATGATCGGTATCGGGTTACGGGCAAGAGAGCCCTAGCCCCGGGGGTGCGCGTTCGCAGGGCAAGGGCCTTAAAGTAAACACGGGTCTCCGAGGGTTAGCTCCGCGCTCCAGGTTTCCCCTAGCAGCAGAACGCCCCCTCTACTCGGAGCTAGTAAACACTCAACACGGACTCGACACGGCCTCGACGCCCGCCCACACCCGGCGCCTCACCACTCCGGACCCCTCATCGTGGTCTCCCCACTTTCACATCGGGACGTCTTCCCCCCCCTCTCGGTCCTTCCTTCTGGTCGCATCCCGATAGTTGTGCGACGGGCGCGGGGCCCGACCTCCTCTCCTGGCCTTTTTCAGCCGCGGCTCCGCCCCCGTCTCGTCTCCTCTGTCCGATTCTGTCGTCATCATCGACGGTGATCCCTTGCCCAACTCCTCGGGCGAGGGCGGCGGCACTGGATCGGCACGCCATTCCTCCCCGAGAAGCGGGGCCAGCTCCCTCCGGTCGAGGACTCGTGCCCGCCCCCGCGGTCTCTCTATCGTCCTCGGCTCGTCCGTACGTCCCGACTCCACTCTCAGAGGCCGCGTTAGCTCATCTCTCGCCTCCTCCGACAACTGACCCCAAGTCCCCCCCGGGGCCCTCCGGCCTCGGCTTTCCGGTTCGCCGGCGGGTCCGCTCTCGTACCGCGGTAATTCCCCTCCCCCATCTCCTCCTCTCGGGTACACCAGCCTCCGGCGGGGCGATCCCGGGTCCCCCAGGTTATTCCGAGCGGGTCCATACGGTGGCGGCCCCGTCGGCGGCGGGGGTGGGGGCGGTGGCAGGGGCGGCGGGTACGGTGGCGGCCCTCGCGGCCCGAACGCCTGGTGCGGAGCCGCTGGGGCGGCCCCACGACCCTGCAACCGTTCCAGTGGCGGGGGCGGAAGTGGCAGTGCGGGTGGCGAGAACGATGGCGGCACTGGCGGCCGCACCGCCTGGTGTGGACCCCCAGGGGCGGCTCCTCGACCCAGCGGTCGCTCCAGCGGCGGGGGCAGAGGCGGTGGTGGTAGGGGCGGGCCTGATGGCGGTGCCGGCCGCCGCAACTCCTGGGGTGGGGCCCCGGGGGATGCCCCCTGCCCCTGCGGCCGTTCCAGCCGTGGTTCCACGCGCCGGCCGTCCACCCCGCTCGTGGGGAGGGGCCTAGCTCTCGTCTCCCCTCGGGAGGGGGGGGGGGCAGGGCCCGGACTCGCCGACGGCCCCGCTTCTCCCCCCTCCCGCTCCACATCAGGCCGTAGACTGCCCAGTAGTCGCGTCGCCTCCCCCCTCGCCCGGTCCTTCTCGATTCGGTCCCGCACCGCCCGGATATCAAAGGCCGAGTTGTGTTCAGACAGCGGGCCCGCCGATGCCACCCGCCTCTTCACACAGCAGGCGTACGCCTTCAGCGCCTGCCCCCCCGACTGTGTCGGCCCCGGTGCGATGTCGTTGACGAGGTAGTCCTCCCCCTCCCACCGGAAAACCTGTCCAAGGAGGTCCGTCGAGCCAACCAGTCGTTTAGCCAGACCCCGCACCTCTCGAGGGAGGCCACCTCCCCTCCTTGTATCACGTGGCCCTTCCCACGGGACAGGCCTGGCACGGCTAGCATGACCGCGAGGTCCTCCCGCCATGTTTGTCCCAGCTTGGAGTCGGCTGCGAGTCCGCACCGCTTCATCCCTTCGGTGGTGTGTACATCGATAACAGCCTCGGCCCCGAATGACCTGGAGACGGCAATCTCATCAATCATGACCACCGCTCCACCACCCCCCGGCGTCGCTTGAGCCCATCTGATCGCCCGCAGCCTGCATCTCGTGGCCCGCAAGAGGCAGTTCCTCCGCCATAGGCGTATCACCTCGCCCCCGGGGCCTTCCCTAGCCGGGTTGGGGGCGGTCATTTCCCCCCCTGACTGTAGCTGCTGCCACTGTCTGGCGTCTGCTGCCACCCAGAGGACTCCGTCCACGATTGGGAGCAGGCCTGCTCTCACCAGTGTCTCGGACGGGGTAGGTCGGAGGGCGTGCTCTCCCGCTACCGCCTCCTGCGGCCCCACGCGGCCGGCCACGCATGCACCTAGGTTTGTCGCCCAGGCCGGGGCGAGCTTACCTCTCACCGGGTTCGGGTCAGCCCCATCGGTCATGGGCTTGATCTCCACAGGCTGGTCGTATCCAAGCGCCGCTGAGCTGACTCTCTGCAGGTCCCGGCGCAGCTCCTCCTCATTGCCATGGTCTCTCGGCAGCGGGACTATCACGACACCGTCATGCTGAAGGTTGATGACCGCACGGCCCGTCGCGCACGCCCAGTTCCATTTGGCCGTCCTGGAGACCGCCTCCAGTTCCGAAACCACGTCCGATTTGAGCGTGCGCGCCGGGTCGGTCGCCCCCCCAGGCGGGTTCACGTTCGTCTCGTGCAGGTTCCAGTACCCCACAGTCTCGTGCAAGTCCGTCAACTGTTCGGCGAGCCATTGCGTACGGAGCGACTGTTGCCGGAATAGTTCCCGGACGTGGAAGGTCTCGCCCCCCCCCAACGCGATCGGGCCCTCTCCCAGCGACCTATCCTCCGGGATGTCGTTACGGGTGCGCCACGCGGAGTACGTGCCATCCATCTCGGTGGCGCAGAACAGGCCTTTGACTGCCTTCCTAGACACGGTTGGCTCCGCTCCTGGGAGGAGAGCCGCTCCCACCGCCACAAGCACCTTCTCCCTGGTCTCCCCCCGGAGGAACTCCGCCGCTAGCTCTCTGTGGACTCCAATCACCGCGAGGGCCGCCCGCGCATGTGCGGCTCCGTCGTCAAAGTCGAGGCCAAAGCGCGCCAGCGCGGTGCTTCGGATGGGTCTCGGGAGCCGGAAGGGGTCCGCCGAAGGGGTTGTAGCGTACTCCCTCCCCCCGGAGAGCCAACCCGCCGCCACCATGGCGTCCGTGCGTCTCCCGTGTTCAAACTCGATGTCCACAAACCCCGTCCGCGGGTCCGGCCCCGGTCTCACCCTCTGGAGAAAAGCCCTCACCACGTCGTGGTGCGTTTGGTTCGCGAAGAAATGCCGGTCTCGCCGAATCACTCTGGCCCCTGCCGCCGACGCGGCGTACGCCTCGAGCGCCCCTATGTCGATAGGGCACCGAACCCTTCGGGTGACCGGCCTACCTTCTCGTCGGATCCTAGCATGTTCCTCCCCCCTGAACATGTCATTGAGCAGCTCGGCCCTTGCCTTCCGCAGCCTTTCCCTCGCCTCGGCCACCTGCTCGTTGGTACATGGCGGCCTCCCCGCCTGCTTCCGTTTCTGGTCCATGTGTCCCAGCCGGGTCACCGCCTGTTGGTACAGCCGCTCCACCCTCCCTCGGGATGGCGTCGCGTGGACCACTACATCCCCGAGGACGCCGAAGGCATGCCTCGCCCTCATCACCCGCGTGACCTCGTCTAGGAAAACCACCGAATCATAGCCAGGCGTGCGGATCCGGGGAGGGGGCTCGTGGCGGATTTGGTTCGGTTCAGCCCTTCCTTCGACTCGTGCCGTCGGCTGTCCCTCCCCCGTCTCTGCTCCTCCCCCGTCTGAGGCTCGCGTGGCTTCCTCCCTCCGTGCTCCCGCCGGCGGCCGGTTCTGCCGTACAAGGCCCCGCAGTTCTTCCGCAACGATCTCTCGGTGTCCGAGCTGGTCACCTCCGTTGCCCCATGTCAGGACCAGGGCTCCCGTCGCCGACCCGTGTTCCCGGCTAATCTGGGTCAGCGCCCCCACCACTTCGTTCCCCACCAGCTGTTCGAGATCCGATGTGGGGCGGATCCCCGTTGGCAGAGCCCCCCCCCCCTCCTCGTTCATGTCCACTGCCCGGACGTCCCCAAGTCTGAGCCATCTTCGGTACGCCCTCCGGCCCGCCTCCTCCAGCCCCATCTGGTCGGTGCTCCCCGGCTCCTCCCTTCTTGCGAAAACGTGTGCTAGGGCCCGACTCCACTTGGTCCCCCTCCCCACATTCACCACCACCTGTCTCCCACCCTTTGGCCTGTGTTCGCCCAAGACAATCCGAAGGGCAGGGGGGCCGGGCGGCGGCGCCGCTTCCAGGATTTCTATCGCACGTTGTGATAGGGGGGCGCACTTCGTCCTCTCTTCCCGCACGAGTTCTCCCGGCCCTCGCACAGGGGGAGGGTCCTGGCGTCCCCGGTGGAGCTGCACGTTAGCGAGGCCTCGCACCGTATCCTCCCTCCGCGTCGCCGAGTCATCCCCCCCCATCGGCTGGTCTCGCGTGGCCTCCTCTATCCGGATGGTGTACGACCTCCTCACTGCTGCAGCCTGGTGTTGCAGTCCCGCCAGGGTGTTCACCGCTATATCCTTGGCCAGGTTGGTTGCCGGGTCCATCGTTCCGCACCCTCCCAGGTCTAGCGGGAGCAGCACCACCTCCATTGCCGCCGAGCGCTGGGCCGTGAGCGGGGTGGGGGCTAGCCGGAGGGCTCGCAACGACGCCCGAGCGGCCACCACACGGGCCGTCTCCAGCACCTCGGGGCCCGGGGGGTGGGCCACCCACATCAGCTTCACTCGCTGGTACAACACACCCGCCGCTGCTAGCGTCGTCACAGGGAAGTTCGGTTGGATGGATGCCGTGCTTCTGTCAAATGCCATAGCTGTTCTGCGCGCCACTGCGTCCTGTTCCTCCCAGAACCGTTCCGGGTCTGTTTTTCCGGGTTTGGGATGGCTGAGCGAGCGCGCGCCCAGTCTTGAGAGACGCCCTTCGCCTCGCCCAACTTCTTTGCGCCCTCCAGTTCACTACGCCGCACGCCAACGTTGCGCCCTCGACTGCGCCTCGCCGAACAGTGCATGATGACGGTCTCCGAGCCGGTTTACGGCGCTTGCGAAAAGCGTGGAGGCGAGGCTGACGAGCAGGCGTTTTATGCGGCACAGCAGTCGGACGACGAGTTGGAGAGCGACTCGCCGCCTCCGGTGCCTCTCGAGAGCATAATCCGGCAGCGGAAGGCCGGTGCCTTCTTGTTGTGTGCTATGTTCTCGATGTCTGCCTTGACTACGCTCGTCGCGATGACTGGCGTCTACGGCTCCAACAGCAGCGGGGAACACCTGTTGGAGACCGACCTCCGGCGGAGGGACCGACTGAGCTACCGCACCGCCTCTGGTGCCGTCGCCACCATCGACACTTATTTATATGACGCCTCGCCCGGTGCGCCACCGCCGGAGCCCGCCTCGCGCGTGCACGCAGCGTGGCTGGCAGGAGAGGCTGCGCTACAGCATGGCGGCGACACCGAGCCAGCGCCGGTACCCGCCGAGCCATCAGAGCCCGCCGAGTCCGGCGGGCACGCCGGCACAGCTCACGCTCGGCATCACGTAGACGGACATCACGCAGGCGGCGCCCCAGCTGGCGACGGTATCTCCGCCAGGCAAGGTGGCGTGGCCGCCGCAGCGCCGAGCGATCATGGCGGGCATGCCTATCGGCATCATGCCGACTTCCCGTCCATCGGCGGTGGCTCCGCCCGGCAAGAGGCCGTGGCGCAGGGGACTGCAACTGCGGCGCATCGAGCATTCTCCGGCAATTCGTCATCAGCCGCGAGAGAACCCTCAACGCAACCAATCAGCTGAAGGTGTCTCACGAGTATTCCCTGCTTCTCCATTTAATACTAAGTTCCACCCTCTGGCGCGCCGTCGCCCGCCGCCTGGCCCGCCCCCCGCCCTGGTGCCTGGACAGCCGCGCCTCGCCCGCTTCCTATAAAGAGAGGTTGAATACCAAACAAATCTAACACATGGGGAAGCCGCGGAAGGTGGCCCGCGCCTTCGCGAATCCCGTCTTGCGGCTTTTGCCGGATGCCCACCGCTTGGCCTCATTGCGGGGGCGGCCACCGGGCCGTGCCGTGGCCGCCCCCGTAGCTCGCGAAGCTGCGAACCGGGCTGCGTCCACTGCGCCGCGCCGGCGCGCCGTGACCGTCGGCCCCCGGACTCGGTTCTTCGCGGCCTGCGCCGGAGAGTTGGCGGTCGTGCGCTGGGTGGTGATCGTCATCTGTCTGCTCTGCTGTGCTTCTCGCTCGTGCGTCCTTGGACTTGTGCTGACCTCCTTTCACCTCCTGCTCTCCTATCTATGCCACGTGGCTGTGTGTGTTTGGGTTTCTATGTTTGCGATTTTGGATTTTCCATTGCACTTTGTTTATTTATTAGTTCAGAGAGTGGTGAGGTGGAGTCGGAGAGGTCACCCACACCCACACCGGGCGGGACGAGACACGCACACGCACTCACACTGCAATTAACGGGCTCTCGTCGCCAGCCCTCGTGCTGCGCCGCTCCCTTGGCTGTGTCGGAGCGGGCTCGCAGGTCAGCAGCGCGTCCCCAGCCTCGTCGCCGTCCCCCTCGACGTCGCTCCCCTTGTCGCTGGTGGCGACCGCGCTGCCGCTGTCGGTCGCGCTGGCCGGCAGCGCGTCCGCAGCCTCGTCGCTGCCCTCGCCGTCGCTGTCCTCGCCGCTGGTGGGGGCCGCGCCGCCGGCGCCGAGCGTCACCCGCCTCCACGTCTCTTCCTCTAAGTTGATTCGGAAATCCTGGTCGGGGTAGCCGTCGTACTCGACCGCGTGCACGAGCCGGCCGTCCGAACCCTCCTCCCGCCCCGTGATGGTGCCCGGCCACCACCTCTGCTCGCCCAGGATCTCCACGTGCGTGCCAGTCTCGACTACAGCGTGCCCGGCGATCCTCGCCGCCGCGTCCACGCGCAGCCGTTTCCGCCGCGCCGTCTTAGACTCCGCGGCCTGCGGCAGGACGTAGTTCGGGCCGTACTCCGCGACGTTCGCGAGGGCCTCGGCCGCGCTCACCGTCTCGACCGCGGCCTCGACCGGTGGAGGGGGGGCTCGACCCGTCGTTCGACCCGTCGTTCCGTGACCTCCCGCGCCAGCCGCTCGCCAGCGAGGGGCTCCTGATGCGCCGCCCGTCGGTCGACGCCCTCGCCCCTGCGCTCAGCCAACGACGCCGTCGCTGTCCTCGCTAACCAACGTGACCGTGATTCGAGGCCGCCCATCCTCCATTGATGCCGTCCAACACCAAAGTCGTTCCCCCTCCAACACCAAAGTCGTCCCTCCCCCGTCCCCCTCGGACACGTCCCTCCCCTGTCCTCTCGACTGCTTCCCTCTTTTACATACATAAATAAATAGAGCAGTCATCTCCATGAGAGATGCAGATGGGCGACGCACGAACACAGAGCTCAGAGGCACAGTGCGCAGTGCGCACCCCGCCCCGCTCACAGGGCGTGCATCACACAGGGACTGTGTGACTCCTTTTCTGGGGTCTCTTGACAGAGGTGCGCTAGTCGCTATAACACACATGGGGACTTTGTGAAAAAAGAATTTGCGGTGCCCAGGCGCCGGCCACAGGCCTCGCCCGGCTCTCCCTTCGCGTCCGACGGCCGTCCTGCTCGGGATTTATTGATTCCATCTAAGTGCTCGCGTAGCCGCTGCAGCAGGAACTGCAGTCGCAGTCGACGTCGCAGTCTCGCTTGGCCATAGGCAGAGCCTCGCTGGGAGATGGCGGTGCGAGATTTTGGGCAGAAAGTTGACGTCTGCCGGCGCATCAAGGAGGTTCTGAAGAATTATGAGGAGGGAAGCCTCTTGAAGGAGATGGTCCAGAACGCCGATGATGCAGGAGCGTCCGTGTTCGACGTCCTCCTCGACCTCCGGACCCATGGTTCGTCAGAGCTTGCGCTTCCCGGCACGGCGGCCTTTCAGGGTCCTGCGCTCGTGACGCACAACGACGCGGTCTTCGCAGACTCCGACCTGGAGAGCATTCAGCAGATTGGCGGCTCGCAGAAGGCCGGGTCGCGGTCCACCAAGACGGGGCGCTTTGGCGTCGGCTTCTGCTCTTGCTATCACGCTACCGACCTCCCTTCCTTCCTCTCTCGAGACTTTCTCGTGGTGCTCGACCCGCACTGCGCGCACGTCTCCGACAACCGCTCCGAGCCAGGCAAGATGCTCTGCTTCCTCGAGGACCCGAAGACCGTCGCCTCGAGCCGCGACACCTTCGAGCCCTACCGCGTGTTCGGATGCAGCCTCCAGCACAGCTACCCGGGCACAATCTTCCGGCTGCCACTCCGCACCGCCGAGCAGGCGGCCGCGTCGCGCATCTCGGCGCAGCCCTTTGTCGGCGCGCCGGCGAGGGGCCTGCTGGACGCGTTTCTCGAGCTGCTCCCCGAGCTGCCCCTCTTCCTCACCCACGTGCACACCGTCACCGTCTCGGTCTGGGAGGCGGGCGCCGCGGCGCCGACCCTCCTCCGCTCCCTCTCGACACGCGACACCAAGTCGGGCGCGCCGCCGCAGCGCAGCCGCGTGCACGAGCTGGTCGCGGCGCGCAGCGATCTGCGCAGCCTGACCCCGTCGCAGAGCATCTCGCAGATCGACGTGCGCGTGAGCGACTCCGCCGCCTCACCGAGCGCCGCTCGCTGGCTCATCGTGCAAGGCATGGGCGCCGGCCGCGCCCTCGAAATCTGCCTGGACCCGGCGTGTGAGCGGTATGGCCTCACCCCCATCCCGTGGGCGGGGGTCGCTGCTCGCGTGATGCCGATTGGCCTAGCGACGGAGGGACGCCCGTACTGCCTCCTTCCCCTGCCGAGTGCGACGGGGCTGCCGGTTCACGTCAACGGTTTCTTTGAGGTCTCCTCCAACCGGCGAGACATCTGGCACGGGGACGACACGATTGGCGGCGGGCGCTTGCGCTCCGAGTGGAACATCGCCCTGCTACAGGACGTGGCGGCCCCTTGCTACGTCGAGCTCCTGCTCTACGCGCGCAGCCTGCTGCACGGCCCCGCCTTCTACGCCCTCTGGCCGTCCTCCAAGCCTGCCGAGCCGTGGGGGTCGCTCGTCGCCGCCATGTACCGCCTCGTCCTCGACCAGCCGCTGCTGCGCTGCGAGGCGGACGGCGGCAGCTGGCTCTCGGCGCGGAGCGCCATCTTCGCCGACGGCGGCGGCTTCGAGCTGCCTGACGCGGCGCGGGAGCTGCTGCTGCGGCGCGGCATGCCGCTCGCGGTGGTGCCGGCGCCGGTGCAGCGGCTGCTTGCGGAGGCGGCGGAGGCGGCGGGCCGCGCGCTCTCCGTCGCGAGCCCGGAGGCGGTCCGCGCGTGGCTGGCCGGCGACCGCCGCCTGGCGCGCGAGAGCCCGACCGAGGGCCAGCGGACGCGGCGGGAGGGCCTCGAGCTGCTCCGCCACTGCGCGAAGGGGCTGAGGGGGGAGGGGATGGCGCAGCTGCGAGGCCTGCGGCTGGTGCCGCTGCGGTCGGGAGGGTGGGCGCGCTTTGGCGACGCGTCGAGCCCGCCGCTGCTGCTGAGCGCGTCCGCCGACGACGAGGGGCTTCTCCGCCCGTACCCGGCCCTGGTGGTGGACGTGCACGCCGAGGACGGGCTGGCGTCGGAGGAGCTGCGGCT